GACAGTTCACATTTCAGGTAGTGGAATACGTCTGGGTAAAGGCTAGTGAACTGGGAGAGGAGTTTGGCATCTGTAGGAAGTTAATGGTGAAGTACTTTGGTCCATGGGAAGTCCTAGACATTGTGGGTAGTGATCTAGATGGTCCCTCGTACGTCATCAGAATCCCTGGTCATCTGCGCAATTACCCTGTATTTCACGCTTCCAAACTTGCACCTTTTGCTGAGACAGATCTGTTCCCAACAAGAAGGTCAATGCTGCCCCCAACCATGGATGGCCACGTGGACGACGACGACATCTTGGAACACAGATTTTCCTGTTCCCAAGCCTGCTGGCAGGGGTAGACCGCCCAAACCTATGAGTGGGTACCGGTTCAGGTTCAGGCAGCATCATTCAGATCCAAAAGAAGATCGCTGGTTCACAAGACAACAGTTTGTCAAGACAGCACCTCAGATTGCGGCCCAGTACGAACAAAGACTGAAGGGGAAGGCACCTGCATAGAAGCATCTCAGCGGACTTTCGAAGCTAAGGGGGATGGAATGTGAGGACTGAGCCCTCACGGGGCCCTAACAGACATGCAAGTGTTCTCGGTTGCGGGCCCCAGCAAGCCTTGTGCCGGCCCTAAGTGAAGGCGGGCCTTAACATCCACAAGAGGCCTATTTTTGACTTTTTTGCATATGTGGGTATACAGACAGTTGCAGCACACCAGTTGGTTGCACGGAAACGTGAGCCTCCAGGCTCTTGCCAGAAAACAAGGACTGCGCTGTACTGTTGAGCCCAGGGCCGGGTGGTTGCGGCCCTGGGCACATGCAGCGTGAGGCCGACACAATCACGCAGCAGCCACGGATGAATGAGAAAGTGGAATTGTCGTCACACAATCTCCGCGAGCCAATGTGAATGTGGCCAACCCTTGGAGCCTGGGAGGCTACCTATAAGTGCCCAACCGAGAAGGGCCCAGGCCCTGAACCGTAGAGGTGGGCCTGGGCGCAGAGACAGGGGTCGGACTGGAAGCTACTGGAAACTTTCCCAGCCTGGGCCAGGCGGACACACGGGGGCTGCACTTTCCATAAAGGAAAGAGGCCAGCCCAGGCAGGGGCATTCTGGCCTAGGCAGGCACTGCAGACACGCTGCTGCGTTACTGTGCAAGTGTCTGCATGGGCGCTGCTTGTCGGATGCACGCATGGGCGCTGAGGTGAGAGGCGCTGCAAGGGCAGCGGGCGCACAGCAGTCATAGCCAGGCTGCAGGGGCGCAAGGCAGGTGATGGCAAAGGTGGTCTTCGGGTAGGAGGTGCATGCTGTGGGGAGATGAGGGGTGATGATGAGAGGAGAGAGAACGAACATGGTGTATGCTGGTGATTGACATTGGTGTTGACGTCACGTGCATTGGTCTTCGACTTCAGAGTGATCCAGTTGCGAGAAGGTAGATAGGTTAGATAGGCTTAGGATAGGCTGGGCGCTTGGCGCCAGACAGTAAGTGCGACATTGGATACAGTGTTGGTGTGAGCAGAGAGTGGCGACATTGACATTCGAGTTCGTTGTATTGCTCCTATTTGGACGGAATCTTGGTGCATTGCACTCCCTGCTCGGCTCTTGATTATCTGAGCCACTTCGTGTTTTTGCAACTTGGATTATTGTCCATTGCTCTCGCTCATATTCCTTGCAGAGTATTCATACACACGAATGCCAATTCCATTACTATCCCTTGGTAACGCGGGCGGAGCTGCACTGGCGAACTCTTTTGTAAATTAATCTTTTGTGTGGCATTCTATATGGCCGTGTTGGGTCCTGCATGTTATACTCGGTATGCTAGCTAGATGGTCTTGTGTATGAGATGGATCGCTGTTTGTGCTATTGGACTGAGTCGTTTTTGTCCCCTGGTGTGCCATGTGAAATTGGATTGCAATACTGTGTGGTAATTAAGCCTGTGTGGTGTGCTTCAGATTTTATCGTGCGTGCGGTCGTGGTTCACGGCATTGCCAGCTGTGCATTGTGAATGTTTGTTGTCTGCTTCAGACTTTATCACGTTTGTGCCGTATGGAGCATCGGGTCACCTCAGACCTTGCCAGCTGTGCACTACGAATGGTGTCATTTGGTGGCATGGACGGACTTTGTGCCATTTGGATTGCAGTGATGAAGGCATTGAGGGTTGCAGCTCTCTGAGAGGGACCAGTCCAGTGGGGATGATGACATTCTCCAGACTGCATATCCAGCAGGGGTAGGGAAGGGGGATGGAGGGGACACACCCACCCAAATAACCTCCGATGGTCCCCACGACAAGCGCAAAGGAAAAACAAAACTGCACACCATGTTGTCAAACAGAAAAGTTAAGCAGCATCTCCTTGGGCCTTTGCATTTTCTTTTCTGCTTTCTTTCCTAGTTCTGTAACACCCAGTTTTTTTTATTTTTTGCCCGCGGACATGCAGGTGCTCGTTGCCAGTGATGGAGGTCAAGCAGATTCAACAAGTGAGATTTCTGCAGTGGGAATTGTTTCAGGAGAGGGGCGGGGCTCCGGTGTCCGAATGAGGCCTAATCCCACACTTTTGACTCCCCCTCCAATTTTCGTCGACCCTCGGAAATTTGCACCTGCAGGAGCTGGTGGTGCAAGGAAACGTGTGGTTAATGGGGATACGACAACAGATGCAATGGGCCAGGGAAGCGAGGAAAGAGGGGAGGCCCCAGCAACCTTGAGACTCGTTGCTGGCAAGAACAGGGCACTGCAGGGTCGCAGAGGAGGTGCTGTCGCTCTTAAAGCTCAGGCCACGGGCAATGGGCTTTCCAGGTTACAGCATGATGACCCAGTTGTGGAGGCAATTACAGTTGGGATCGGGGGAAGGGGTGAGTGGGATGACGGTGAGAGCGTTGCAGCATTCAGCTGGGATGACAGCGATGAGGATGAGCGGTGGTGGAGCAACGAGGAAGGAAATGGAGAGACCAGTGAGGAGGAGGACGGTGGCTGGCAACAGCCCTCCGTAAGGGTGCGGGGAGGCAAAGCTCACGATGAAGGTGCAGATGGGGAAGAATGCCAGCTGGATCCCATGGCAAGGGGAAGAGGAACGGGGGGGGACGGAGGAAGGGAGGAAGAAGAGAGACCACCTGTGTTTGATCTCTGCCTACCTGTGAAGGATATGGCAGCAGCCATACAGCTGGCACCTTCGCTATTGGAAGTGAAGCGGCAAGAAAGGAGAGAGCTCAATAAGAAGTATCCTAAGGAGATACTGAGAGAGGGCATGGTATTGATGAAGGGATGGCTAGATGAAGACCAGCAGGTAAGCATCGGGTGCAATCGGATAAATAAACCAGCTGCGGGTATTTATTGGGTAGATTAATAATTTGGGAGTTGGGGCTCGTATAAGAGGTTGTGAATGGAAAACCGGGTCGTAATTTTTCGTGTGAATGCTCAACGGCAGGCCTGTTACAGGGCTTGGCCGGACCCATTGTTACATATGCTGCAGTATTGGAAGGTGAAATCCTGTTTGTCTCCACATGAGATGCTGGAAATCAGTGGCGTGGACCCCGTGTCGTGACTGTTAAACCACCAGTACTTGGGCACTGCACGCCGCGCCGGCCGCCCAAATCTCGAAGCAGCGCAGGCTGTCGATTCGATTTATCGAAGGCCTGCCGGCCGTGGAAATCGCGTAGCGTTAACGCTAAGGCGTCGCCCAAGTACTGGTGGTTTAAATCAAATGGAGAAAAAAAAACGAATGAAAAACGTCTGCTTGTGAACTTTTCAATCTTTTTCTCATGCTTCTTTTACACCGTCTTCCATGGACAGCACCTTTCGGACTGCTGACCGGTTTGCTGATGCTGAATTATGTGTTCCTTGTTTTGAAGCTATTAGCGATCACGAAAGGAAATGAGCAGACACCCAGAAAAACAGATCTGAGAGGAAAGAGAAAAGCAGGGCAAGCTGACAGTCAATCCTCCACTACGTTGGAGTAATCAATGCTGTTCAGGGGTCCCTCGGTCAGACGGAAGGAAGCGCGAGTGCGTTATTGTTGTAATGCTTATTCCGACTTGCCGGTGGAATCGGAACCGGACTGATGCTCCCCAGAACGGAAAAGGAGCCAGGATCGTAAGGTCCTGTTTTGTTTTAAAAAAAATAAAAATAAAAAATCACCGGGGAAAAGTGGGGAAGGCAGTAGGAGAAAGAAGGGGACTCTGAGGAAGACAAGAGGCAGAGGGAGGCGAGAAGGGGGGGAGGGGGGAGGGGGGAGGGGGCCCAAATATTCGCCATTTTTGCCAGCAATTTCGGTGCAGAAGTTATCGAAATTTGTAAAAAACAAACGATATGGGCCCATAGTGCAAACATAAAAAAAAAAGAAACAGGCCAAAGAAAACAGAACAAAAGAAGAACACACTATGAAACCCTAACACAAAAACACCGTCCGAGTTATAAAATGAAGCGTCCATTGCCGTCCAACGAATTCAATGAAATCGTTGAAATGCCAATTTTTTTCATTATTGATCCAAACATGTAAAAACTGGGCACATGACGTACCCTGAAGCACATATATATCACACAAGAAGAAAAACAAGAAACTGGCCAAAGAAAACGGAAAACAAAAAACAAAAAAACACTATAAAACCCTAACACAAAAACACCGTCCGAGTTAAAATGGAGCGTCCAATGGACTCAACGAAATGCCAAAATTCGCCGAAGATAACACCCCTGGTTAACCACATGTGGGGAGGGGGGGTAGAGAGAATAAGGGGGTGGAGGGGAGAGTCAAGGAGCCCAAGAGATGGAATGTGGGGAGGCGGGGTAGAGAGAATAAGGGGGTGGAGGAGAGAGTCAAGGCGCCCAAGAGATAAAAGTTTCTCTGACCCCCTCTCCCCCCGCCCGCCGGCTTTTCTCTCGCTCGCACAGTCCATGCAGATTCGAGTTGGTAGGATGGGCTCGTACTATAAGATATTCTCCTTTTTTGCCACGAGTTTTTTTGGGGGAGGAATGTATGTTTTGTGGGTTTGCGTGGAAGACTCTCCAAGTGTTTTTGGACGTTTGGCGGGTTGGGGCGGTGCTTTCTTGCTGGAGGAGTCTTCTGTCTTAGGTAAGTTGTCTTTTACCTTCCACCCCTTTGGTAGTGACGTGTATGGGTAGTTTGGGATGAAAGCAGTGCCAGTGCTGTCGTGCTGGTGTTGTCTTTGTGTAATTGAGTTCGTGGTCTTGTGGCCCGATGCCGAAGGCCCACGAATCAAGTTTTTTTGGACCCTTGGAGGGTTGGGAAGTGGGTCAGTGCCTGCTTGCTGGAGGAGTCTTCTGTGTGAGGTAAGTTGCCTTTTGCCCTCCATCCCTTTATGGACTAGGAAATATATATGTATTATGTATATTATGCTAGGCTACCAGCCGGGCCTCCCAGCAAAAAAAAATAGAAAAAACAAAATCCAAAAAATTCGAAAACAAACTATGTGATGCAGAAAAATAAACTGAACAACTTTTGCCTCAGGGTCACATCGAAATTCGTTACCAAATTAACAAAATAAAATAACATTAAAAAATTTTAAAAACAAATGTTATTATTTTTTTCCCGGCCGGGCAAGTAGTCCCGGGCCACTCTGGTAGCCTAGATATTATGTATATAATACCTATGTATATGTGCAAGTGTGCCGCTTCGGCGGCAGACGGGTGTGTGGGCACTTAGTGCTCAACCGCACAAACGTGGCCAACCTCGCATTTTTTACTATCTTGCCTATCTCTGCTTTTTCTGTTTTATGGATGGTTTAAACTTTATGATGATTTGTGGAGGGAATGAGAGAGAGAATCGGGGGTTCCTTAAAGAAACGCACAACTGGAGATCGACACACAACTGGAGATGGATTGGTGTTTTGCAAGTGGATCCCTCTTTACTGGTGGACTAGGCAAGAAGCCTGTGCAAGGCTGGCGTGTGAGAGCGCTTGACCATGCCACCATGGCCTGTGGCAGGTATGTGTGTCTTTGCAAAGGACACAGCTGTGGGACAGTGCCATGGCCTGTGGGACCTGGGTGCACCCTCCCTCCAGGAGTTAAAAAGTCTCTCCTCGAAGGTGGAAAGAGAAGAGGAAGAATGATGACTGTTGCAATCGATGAGACGAAGTCTCTGACAAAAATCACAAAAATTATGTTGTTGAGATGCTCTGTGGTATCTGTTACACGGTGGTGAAAGGCGTGTCAATGGTGTTTGTGCATGAAGGCAAACAGCAGGCAAGGTTTCAAGTCGAGTGCAGAAATGAGAGTAGATGTGAGAGCGTGAAAAATTAAAAAAATGTTTTGATTTTCTCGATGCGTTGTGTTTTGGCATGACCTGACCAGGTAGAGATCGTCAAAGAGTGCCGAAGGCTGGGGATGGGACCAGGGGGGTTCTATCAGCCCCGTTATGGAGACGGAGGGCGGATGCACTTACAGATGATGTGTTTGGGACAGCACTGGGAACCAAGATCACGCGCCTACGAAGCGAAACGGACGCAGTATGATGGGGCAACCCCGCCGCCCATTCCGGATATGCTTAAGCGGCTTATTGTTGGAGCGCTTTCAGACGCAAATGACATCTGCATGAGTTTCAATGCCACTTTAGGGAAGAAGGAAAAAGGCGTAAAGCTTATACCCTCCATGCAAGCGGATGTCTGTCTGGTGAACTTCTACGATAGGAATGGTTCACTTGGCATGCATCAGGTAATAATGGTCACGACTCCGCAGGGCAGTTGATGGCACCATGATTTTTAAAAATTTCAGTTCTCACATCCCTCAGAGAGTGCAGTGTTCGATGTTCGGATCTCCACAAGTTCTAAGCACATGTTATTTGGGCCCACAAGTTTGGTTCTCGCGATGGAACCCTTGCAGGTTGAGAGGGTCTTGCGCGAGCACCCCAAATCTTCAAACACAAAGCATTCGTGGAGATGAATAGAGACCAAGAATGTGTCAAAGTTCAAATACGGACAGGCACATCAGGTTTTTCTTTATGTAGGAGGGGGGGGCGGGGGGGGGCTATATGTCTTGGTGTTGGTGTTGGGTAGCTACGCTGGTAATGATAGAACCGCCGAAAAGATGTCAGTCAATATGGAGTGGGTCTGGACAGTGTGGCAGCTATGCTGTCTTTTATCGTTTTTTCAGACGGGAATGCATACAGTAGATGCTCTCTTGTGAAGGCTTTTGATTTCTTCCTCGCTCTCGGTTTCCGGTGTTGTATGGCTGGGACTTGTATCGCAACGCACAGATATGCGTAAATTGCATGGAGTTGGGCGCACAGTGATTTTGAAATCAAGAAAGCCTAATGGCGGGCCTGCAGATTGGGCGAGGAAAATCCAAAGCATGCAACTAAGTCGAAACATAATTCAACCTGTCTCTTATACACATCTAGATGTGTATAAGAGACAGGCTTAAAACTGCTGGACTGGTGGACCCACACTCGGGCCCACCGTCGTCCACCGGGTCCCATGCTCTCGTATTTGGGATGTGTTCGGTTTTCCTGGAAAGCATGTTGGCGGACGGGGACGAGACCTTGGCGTGCTGTCACATCATGTGAGGTCTCTTTGAGAAGCATGTCAGAGGGCCTTGTGTTATCAATGATGTAGTAGTGTCCTTGGACTGCGGTGAGGGAATATGTCCTCTTTCCTGTGTTTTGCCTCATACCAGGGAGGGGGTTCGAGGCCGTGAAGGGGGTCTGTTGAGCGTTGAGCTCCCACAGGTTATCTATAAGGGAAAAATTGGAAAATTCAAAATCTGCAATTTCTGAAGAAGAAACAACATGAACAAAAAAATAATGAGCATGGTTGCTCAGGAGTCAGGACTTACCTCTGTCTCTGCCCTGGAGCCTTAGGTGCTTTCTGTTCCGTCTCCACTGCCGACTCCGAGACGTTGCAATGCAGAACTGCAATGCACTTGTTGAGGTGCAGTCTTTTGCATGTCTACCTCTGAAAATCCCTTGGTGGTGCTGAATAAACACCATTGTGTGCGGCTTTGGTTTTTCCAGGACAAGGATGAGAGTGAGCAGAGCCTGGCAGATGGGGCACCTGTGGTATCATTTTCAATTGGAGACTCTGCGGATTTCACCTTTGGAGTCGAAAGGGATATTGAATTTGCAAGCTCCGTCCTTCTGGAATCTGGCGATGTTCTTATCTTTGGCGGCGTGTCTCGGCTGATATACCACGGCGTGGAACGCATCCATCCTGGCACAGCTCCAAAGGGTCTCATCAAGGAAACGTCACTTAGACCAGGGCGATTGAACCTCACCTTCCGTCAACTCTAGTCTAGAGCTGAGATTTTGCTGTAATCAGATTCCATCTCTGCGAAGGTCAGTGATTTGATTGTTCTTTTGAAAAAAAACACTGATGTGGCTATCTCTTTTGCTTCTTGTTCTGAATGTAATGTTGGTTTCGCTTTGCCGCTGCTTGGTTATACGCCCTGGCCATTTGGCTGTGTGTGTGTGTGTGGCTGCGGCCCGCCCTCACTCAGGTACTTGCAAAATGTGAACTACGGCGAGTGTTTCTTCCCAGTGTTAATGGGCCTTGTTCCACGACTCACCAAATCGGAAAGGTGGCAGGTGTGTGGTTCTGCGGATACACTTGCCACTTTTCCTATTTGGTTATTTGGTGAGTAGTGAAGTGAGGCCCTATGTTGCCGCGTTGGGTCTGTCATCCTACGCACACCTCGTGTTCACGAACTCACTCCTCGGTCGAGCAATAGAATCAGGAATGTGATAGCCTGGACGGAGATCATACGGAGTACAGTTATATGCTTTCCTCTTCCAAGTATTTGCATGGACCTGTCCAATTATCAAGACTTTGTACAAAATTCAAGTGAACAATTGGCCTCTCACTTGCCTTCTTCTTCCCTTCCGGAAAGCTCCTTGTTCGCCTTGTTCGATGGAGAAGGCTGCAATGTTGCGATTCATGGGGGAGCATTTTAATTGCTAAAAATGGAGTTGTCCGGGCCCGGACGTGCGGGACCCCCCCCTGAACTGTCCGCCCAGGACGTCCTGCCATCGGAAAACTTTTGCCTTCTTTTTTTTTCCTTTTTTTTTTCCCCTTTTTTTTTATCCTTTTCTAGTTCCATTCCGATAAACAGGTCTTCGTTTTGACAGTTCATGGCTGGTACCTTTTTCACCGCTGCAAAGCAAAGGCTGCAATGTGATCATTCAATGGATCAGTGGCGACCGTACTCCTCTTCGAAGTGGGTTATACACAGAAGCAGTTCATTACTGGTCTAACACCCTGCAAAACAGGTTGGTTCAAGGCCACCCTTGACATGTGAAAAGCGATTTTAAACCACCAGTACTTTTCCCAGCCATTTTTCTACAACACGGCAGTGCTCGCGCCATGCCCGGCGGGATGATGCACCGTGTAGAACAGGCCATCCTTTCAGCTCGATGATTCACCCACGACTGAGTGCGTGCGCTCAGCTCAATAGAGTACCATGAGGGCTGGTGTAGTAAACACCCGGACTTAACCTCCGACAACCACGACCACACCGACGAAAGACTGTTGGAAAGGGGAACCGCCGATAACCACAGCAGTGATACCCAAGAAAACGCCCCTCGGTGCCTTGACAGGAATCAAACACGTTGACTCGATGCTTCACTTGCGACTGAGAGTTCGCAGCCAAGAAGGCTGCATGGCTGGTGTAGTAAACACATAAACAGAGGAGTGCATGACCTTGCTCTGAGTTGTGTGTTCAGGTCACTATTTGGACAAGACGGCTAACATAAAGTCGCAAATGAACGTATGGATGTAAACTGGGTCGGGAATTTGCAGCAGACTTGAAATTGTGTTGCGATTCCTTGGCCTGCCGTCTTGACC